TTTTTATGAACTTTCAAGGAAAACTATAGCGGTTAAGATAGATCAGTTAGTTCAAGAGTAATAGTCGTTTTACTCATGTACCTATTATAAAATTTCATACCTAATACAAATTCCTTAGAAGAAAATTTTAAAAGTGGCTTTAGATGAAGTAATTGCTTACTTCTGAAATATATTGTGATAACGACGGACAACTACGGAACCCTACACTGCGCGTGGCACGACACGTACTTGGCCAATTTTTTTACATAAGATATAACCCAGTTTTCTGGCAAACTCTTTTTCTCTATTTCTTGTGGAAAAAAATACGTGATATTTCCCGAGACCCCCCCTCTCCCCCAAGTGAGATTTAGTGAGGTTTTTGTTAACCCCCTCCCCCCCCTAAAAGCCTCACGTAATTTATGGACGCCCCCTTACGCGCGTGAATTTGGCTTTGATGTTAGACTTTTTATGTTTGGAGATATGGCTTTAGAATATCAAGAAAGAGAAAGAGAAGAAAAGTGACACTTATAGCTGACCCGGTGAACTCTGTTCCATGGAATAAATAAGCCATCGCAATTTTTCCTTATTTGCTCACCGTTTAGACCTACCCTGGACTACGACAAACATTTTAAAACTAAAATCAGCTCAATCGGCCAAGCCGTTCTCGAGTTTTGATCAGACTAACGAACAGAAATCGTTTTCTGTTAAAATATTTCTATTATTATAATCTATTAAAGTACCTCAAATGAAATTGGGTAAATAAAGAGGCTTGAAGATTTTTTTTTAATTCTAGCTTTTGCCCGCTACTTGTCATATTCAGTTTGTCACATAGTATGTATGTACCTAAAAACAATATAAAGTTTCAACACAATCTGCTTGTAGTTTCTGCGTGAGAGAGTAACAAACATCCGTACAAACTTTCCTGTTTCAAATATTAATAGGATACGATTTCAACAAATTGTCTTCAACAGCTTCTGTCTTCACAGACGATAGGAATGTCCGCTGTCTACGTGTACGAGTACGAGATTACCATCGTAATCATCAAACTGTTGTTGTATCGTTACGAAATTGTGATGGAATCCGTGAGACAAATTAAGCGAGCGCTCGACAATTGTTAAACAAGCCGCTTCCTATAATTTTGTCCTAATCTCGTTTCATTAACTCTGTAAGTCATAGGACTTACAAATCTTGGCGTGTTGTCGACCTCACAGGATCTCAATGATTAGCGTAGGTACTCAACACTTGTGTTAAGAAAGAGCTTGGCTTTTTTTGATGTAAGGTAGTAGGTAGTAGTTTCATTTCAATTTCATTTTTCATTTCACGAGTAGTTTCATTTCAAATTTTGCCACACAGCAGCTCATCATCCGACTGTCACATTGGTATTGAGCTTTTTTCACAACTTTCCATCGTAGATTAGTTACTTGCTCTGTGATTTCTTAAGCAACTAACGGTTGGAGCTTTGGTGTAGTGTTATGACAGCAAGACAGCAACGTAGTTAAACACAGACACGGTAGGGTAAACCGACAGTCATTGGACGCTGCCAGTCATTGGACATAACAACCCTTGATTTTTTTTTTAAATGAATATTCCTTCAAATACAATGAATATTTCTTCAACAAAACGCCCTTTTATCTCCATCAGTCGGAATCTCTCAGTTGTTGAAATAGAAATGCTATTTTTAATTCAGTAAATAACTGTCCAATAACTTTCTTAAGTGTCCAATGACTGGCAATTTACCCTATCTGATTTAGTTGTAACTATTTCACAAAACATGTTTGATGTGCTACAGTACAGATTGTGCAGACATAACATTAAACTTTAAGCATCATCTTATGCAACAAAAACCTATAGTCTGAAGTGATGACGTCATCAAAGCTACAATTTATTTATTATTAACCTTTTTCAATCAACAAGTAAACTCGCCAGTGTAGACAGCTCTTTAGCCCAAGACACAGTCACCGATATTGCGCGTCTTAGGGTGAGCCGGGGAGAGCCCGGATTACTTTACCCGGATGCAACAGGTCGAATAAAGGGGAAGTGGGGCCGCTAAGTTCCCTCGAACTGTCTTACTTAAGTCGAGGTAATGACGCGTCTTGAGATGAGTGATGCGTTCCGATGCGGTGTGGAGTTTTGGTCTTTAAGTTTCATCTTTGCGATGAAAGTTCAAAGTAGAAGAAGATATGCCTAACTATAGTACTCGTAGAGTGTAACCCCTATGTTCTCGATTTATTTATCGCACCTATCGTGGTAAGTTCTAAGTTCTAATAAGTTCATTTTATACCTAACGACAACAATGCTTGTTTAATCACAAAAAATTTCCAGCGGTGGACAGTGGTAGTCTGTTCTTTCGCGACGCTACTTCTCAGCACTATTTTTTGTTACTAACTTAATTATTTATTTAAGTTGCTAAATAATTCCTACGACTGTAGAGTTTGACGTGTCGTGTTCTGTAAAAAGTAGCAAATTATTGATTTATAATATAAATTAACTCTGTAGTAGAATCACAAAATTAAATACTGAAATAAAACACTTTCGCACACAATTTGTTCAGAATATTTTTCATTATACTACTTCGAATAATTTCGACAAATTCGTACTTTTGATTAACTTTTTTGTTCTCCTGATGAAAAGAAAATAGGTAATTAATTTCCCCAACATTACTAGAATGGCTTTTTCAAATCGGCTTACTAAGTCGATATAAAATTTAAATTCCTACAGTGACCATTCGAGACGACGGTAATCGAATCAGAACGCGATACGGAGTAGTTCCCGAGGGAGGACGGGGATGATTGGGTATTATGAGATTTCCACTGTCGGGCATTAAATCAGAGAGATATTTATCGGTGCCATTGTTTTATACGGCGGAAATGAATTTAATAAGGGCTCAGTTGTATTGCTGTATTTTGATTTATCTGTCCTCTATTCTATCATTGATTTCGTAAAGCAACCAGCAATTCGTGTAGGCGACAATTTCATCTTGAAAGATCAATAAAACATTAAATTTCGTAGTATAGAATAGCTACGAGCCTACGCGTCGTAGTAGGCCAACCGCGGGCTTCGCTACGATGCGTACTACGCATTTGCTACGGTTTGTCTATGCTACGAAACTACGAATTCATATTTTTAGCCATTAATTTTATTTAAGCTAATAAATTTTAATGCATTTAAAAGTTGATTGCGTGCTTTTTCACGGCTATGGCTGAACTGATTTTGATGATTTTTGTTATAGTAATAGAATGTCATCTAGGAGACGGATTTAGGCTGTCTGTAGAACCAATAATAATTATCTTATCAGGTTTTTGTAAAAAGTATGTTGTTGATTATAAATAAAGCGACCAGTAGCTGTGCTAGTAGGTACATGAATAATATTCCAAAGCTTCAATTCGTCTGTGCAGCGCTTAAGCCCAACTTAAGTGACCGCAAAGGGCCATCCGTCACGTGCATGACGGCGGGCATGATGAAGTGCCGCAATCAATTAGTGCAGAAATCACAATTAAAGCCGTGTGGACCGCGGCTAATGGTTTAGGAGTTATTATGGTGTTAAGAATTATAACATACTAGCTTTCCGCCCGCGGCTTCGCCCGCGTGGAATTTTGTCTGTCACAGAAAAACTTTATCGCGCGCGTCCCTGTTTCAAAAACCGGGATAAAAACTATCCTATGTTCTTTCCTGGGACTCAAACTATCTCTATGCCAAATTTCATCAAAATCGGTTGCGAGGTTTAAGCGGGAAAGCGTAACAGACAGACAGACAGACAGACAGAGTTACTTTCGCATTTATAATATTAGTTGGGATGAACTCTTTCTAAATAAAGTCTATTCGAATTACGTGTGAGATGATATTTTCTGTATTATTTTTCTGGGAAAGAGGAGTTCGGACTGACAGTGCTAGAGCTTTGTGTATTGAAAACCTCAACATTAAATAAGTTAGCAGTATAATGTATTTAGGTACTATTTTAAAAGTACAGTTGTTAAATGAGATAATATTAACTAAAAAAAATCTATTGATGTAAAATGATTATTTAAATAATATGCGTGGCCGTGGACTTTACTTGCCTAGTTCGCACTTATTACATAATGTTTTATGTAAGTATTTGCTCTATCTAATTGAAAAAGAGGCTGACAAAGGTGACTTCTCAGCACCAGCCCATAATGTTGTAGGACACGTTGTAGCCCCAAAGTAGGACGTAGGTAAGATGGGGCAAGCTATATTTGGGAAATATAATAAGCGCCCTGTAGAAGGCCTAAATACTGATCAAAGGCTTGGACTTTGATGTAACTACACTAACCAAGTCTTTGACGCCTAACAACATTAGGTCACTTCAAAGACATGCCGTTGCATCCTCCCTTTGCCGGCGTCTCATAAAGCTCCACTAAATAAATTTCCGTCTCCAATCTAGACCAGTCAAGATCACCTTTCAACGGCTGGAGAATTGGCGCTTAATTCGATCAGCGGCAGACGTGGCCCGATCGCTCGGATGACCCCCCTCCATTAGCTTATTACCCTCCCCCATTATTGCGTTACTAATTTTCCTGCACATCGAGGAGCTAACTAAGTTTCTGTTCTCGTAAAGGGCGCGTTTTGATTGTCAATTACGGCCGTTGGACGGCAAAGGGTGTCGCGGCGCAAAGCAAAGACCAGGATGCAATTAGTTGCGGGCGAAACTTCGTGTTTCTCTTACGCGAGTTTTGCTTGCGATCGGTTGTGGGATACTGTGTCGTCGATAACGTTACGGTCCTAGTAATAGAGTTACTTAGGAAAATGTATTTGGAATAAATATTGATGCGGGAAAATTATACATTTAGTGCCCTAGAAAGGGCCTGAGTACGGAATAAAAGCAAAAGGTTCGATTTTGACATTTTACACCCTTCAGACCATAAAGCATGAAATATTTTATCCAAGCTTCATGTACTAAACCTTGACTGACTCAGAACTTTTTTTACAAAATGTTGTTAACTTGACACAAATGTCAATATTTTGAGCCATCCGTTTATTTTTTTGGATTTATTTATTATTTTGTTACAACAGTTTTATTTTAATAAAACATCATGTCCGATAGTGAAAGTAGTGAGGAGGAGGTGGTGGAAGAAATCCTCGCTCCGCCGGAGGAGATAAGTTCAGGAGAAGATCCACCTATGAGCGAGTGGTCCTCCCTCATCATAGAGCTCCCGGAAGAAAACAAGAAGAGGGCACTCATGGCGGACGGACTATACTCGCCGGGGAGCGGCGAACTGTGCACCAAATACGTAGCCATGTCAGACAGCGACATCGCTATACATCCATATTACAACTATCCAGCTGTCCTAGACCCTGGCATAATGGATGCTCTAACGATTCCCGAAAAACCTGTCATATATGGAGACGACGGTCAAGACCTGTACTTGGCGCTGTGCAAAGATATGAACACTTGTCCAGTGGGAATGTTTCACAGAAGTTTGCTTACAAACGAGATTAACCTGAGCTTTTATGGAGTCAATCCTAATGGAGTACGTCCAATGGCGATGGCATTACAATATAATAAAACAGTTCGTCGCTTCGATCTCACTGACAACTTTCTCAACGATGACTCATGCTTCCATCTGGCGCAAATGCTAACAGTTAATAGTACTATTAAAGAATTGATACTGTCAGGATGCCGGATCGGAGCTTCAGGGATACTGCGTTTAGGAAGCACGTTGTCAGTCAATAGAAGCCTAGTGACGCTGAATTTAGCAGGGAACTGTTTGGGCGAGGATGGTGGAGTTTATTTTGCGAAACAAATTGGAGATGGTGCTGGAGTTCCTCGCGTGTCATTGAGTAAAAATGAACTTGGCAGAATGACTGCGTTTGCACTCGCAGAGGCGTTGGAATATCGAAATAAACTGACACATCTAGATTTGTCTTGGAACAATTTCTTTCACGCTCCGTCGGTGGTAAAAATGCTCGATCAACTGTCATATAGCAAAGTATTACAAGAATTGAATTTAGCGTGGAATTCCATGGAAGGGGAGCGTGTTGCTGGTATGCTGAAAGAAATTTTTCTCATCCCCGCTCTAAAAGTGCTAAACATAAGCCACAACCGATTTCAAGGTGAAGCATTAGCGTTGCTTTTAGGAAACCTAATAAAAGCGAAGAAATTGGTAACCCTCGACATGTCCTTCAACCCTTTCAGCACCGACGACGCTTATCATGCGTTAGAGAAGATGCTAAAACCTCGTGTAAAGTTAGATAATTTGTATCTCGATGGCATCACTGTCGAAAAAAAGTTTCTAACACTACTCGAGAGAGTTTTGAAGATGAAGTCACGTAAAAACTTTACTATAAAACATGGCAGAGTCCTCCACAACTGGACCGTCCAGGGCCCAGACCCGAGGAAGTTAATAATGGAGAGAATGGATTACCTCGGGAAGAGAGACAGGAAGCGCCGTATGGATGTAGCCTTATTCTTTTTGAGGATAGCGAAGGAATATCCCAAACCGATTCCAATTAAAGCGCTGATAGACGTGAAAGACTACGAAAATGTGCCGTTGGATGATGATTTGATAAATGAGTTGGGGGCAATCTTCCCGGGTCCTAAAACAGCAAAGTACAAGACTATAAACATACAGACGGTCTGTGAGTACATAAACCGAATATGGCCGGACAGGAAGCTGCCCCCGACTCCGCCACCGGAGCCCGAGCCAGAACCAGAGCCTCCACCACCACCGCCTCTACCAAAAGGAAAAGGAAAGGGGAAGAAATGATGTTTACGTTTTAATACATTAATTTATTTCTTAGACATATTTTTCGTATTTTGTATCGATATATTTTTAATTATTTTAAGTTTATTTAATTTGTTTGATAAAATTATCATTTTGTTTAGTATACTTACTAATACATTTTACCAGTTATTTATAATAAATTTTAATTTCTATGAGTGTTTTGTGGCATACTTTCTATAATACTCGTAGCTTACTACTTAAGTATTCTTGTAAATTCGCTGTGTAGTCCGCTTTATTCATTGCTCAATTCTATTTAACTTACAATCCATAAAATATGATTGTTTATTTATTAATCTCCTAGACAAGTGTTATCTGGGTAGTCGGGAACAGATCAAACAATCTCATTATGCGTGTTTCCGGCGGTCCCAGGCAGCAATACCCAGTGGCCGCGAAAGCTTCATTTCCTGCGCACACGCCTAGCAATTTTACATGTCACTTGCATTTGCTTGTCTAAAGTTGTGATATGACGAATCTCTATTATTTTATTGAAGTTACAAAATAGTTATTAAAAATAAATAGTGGAGAAGGACAGAAATCCATAAAAAGTTTTTTTTCAATATGCTGCTCCTAATTTTAAACCTTTCCCATAGTTACAATGTGACCTGGACCAGGGTAGACTCTTTAGGAAAAACCCAAACGACTTACGTGATGGTTTCTGTACCTCTAGCATGAACAACTTTCGTCTTCGAATCGTTTGCGTATTCGATAAAATTCGATACTCAATCTTCGAATTAAACGATAACGTGACAATTTTGATTCTCAAAATAAGTTTCTTGCAACCACATCTCATACTAAGTTCACTTTACGACACGTTCACGAGGGCGCTGTTGTAGTTTTCTTACTAAATCTTTTGATGGCGATTCGAGTACGCAAACGATTTGAATTCGAAAGTTTTTTGTGCTAGCCGTACTGAAGACACAAAAAAGATTGAAGAAATTATTGTCAAGTCGACATATGAAAGAATAGAAGTAGTAAGTATTAGAAAAAGTTGTTTCATATCCTTTATATCCACCCATATGCTTGCCACCGGGGTGGTGGTTGGCACTAAATATTTTGGACAGTTGTTTCAGTGGGTTGATTTCTTTTGTTATTTTATTCTCAACAAAGTATGATTAGATTTAATGTAGGTTCTTGTTTGCTTCTCTAACATTGTTATCCATTCCCAGAGAACGCAGTAACGATCAGAAGCTGCATAGCGCCCGCTCAATTACATCGCACGTAAGCGCGCCCTCGAGGCTCAAGGCGACTGTTAGGGGCGATTACGAACGCCTCGAGAGCCCTACGGCACCCTTGGGCGCGCGCCTTGAATGTGGATAGGTGAAAGGTGAATGCGGCTTGATGCAGGTGGGTTAATTGGTTCTGTCTTTGTTTGGATTCTGTTTGAGTTTTATGCAATTTGAAAGTTTGATTCATTGGTTGGTTTTCAGTCAAGAACCCTGCTTTGCACTGTTTTAGTTTTTAATAAAATTCTGAAAGATTTAATTCTTTGATTTCAGTGAATGCTCTTTTACCTACCATTTAATTTGCTAGTTATTTTTGAGTTGCATCTAAGTTTCTGCCATAGCGTCCGTTGAGAGACCACACATGACAACTGTACCTCTAGTAGGAAAATTACCCCTATATTATAGCCGCCCTAGGGGGCGCTGTTTAATTTTTCATACAAAATTTTTCGATGACACTTTGAATACGCAACGAAACGAACTCGAAAGTTTTTCCTACTAGAGGTACTGAAAGTTTTAAACTTAAAACTTTCACTTTCAGTTTCATTCATCAGAATTATCACAAAGTTGCAGTTACGTTTCACCGTCTGTTCTGGGCCTTAGTGACCAAAATTAAACATGATTTAACGATTGCATCGCGTTACTGTCGAAAAACGGTGAAAAGATTAAAAATCTTTTATGTTACTACGGTTAGTTATTATAACTGTATGAAAGTAGATTTTTTTTAATCTTCGGCTGAAATTGCCGGAGTTCGGTCTTTGAAGACAAACAATTTCTTGTATATTCAAACAAAAATGTATTTTTATAGCAAGTGCTGGAAGTTTCTCGCTAATGTCTAAGAGCAAACTTGTAGTCTCCATACTTTATAGACGTTTATGCACACGTTTTGTACCGCGGCCTGAAAGGAGCCGCACGGCGCACAGCGGAGCACAATTAGCGTTGCAAGAGGCACTTAGGGCCACTCACGCCGCGGTCGCGAGCACCTAGGCAGCTATGCACTAGTGACATATTCTTAACGCTGTTATAACACCTTACTACTTGCAATACTCGTATTATAATCTGTCTGACATCCTATAAGAAAGCTGTAAATCAAGAATCTAAAATCTTAAATTTTTCGGTTACGGCTATGGTTACAGTCTGAAAGAAAAGTTTTTGTGAGAGAAAAATGCATATACGAGTTAGCTGACATTATCTTTTTTCTACATCCCTGGGTAGAATCGGAATAATTTACACTGAAAAACTAAAAGCTGAAAAAGCTTAATTTAATGCGTATTGGGTAAGAGTAGCCTATATCATATCTTCCTTGACTTGGCATAAAGTCTTTTTGTAGAACTTGCTGGATTATTAAAATATAAAGTCTAAGTTTTTAATCGTCAGACCACAGCATTACCCCAATTTGGTCAATAACCGAAGTTGTAATACATAATATGTCTTTGCTCTATAAAATCAGATTTTAGCGCCGGCGCGACCACTATTATCATAACAGTCAAAATTTTGATGCCTTTACCGACTAACATCTGCATCTAAAAGGTAGAAGCCAAACTTAAATTGCTGCTTCTCTGCATCCGTAACACAGACCTGACCTTTGCTGCCTTTGTTCATCTAAATAAGGATGTAAATTACAAACTAAACTCACCCCCTCCATTCTTGTAGCAGAGGTAGGGGAAGCGCCACACGTTGGCCAGGTCGACGGCGAAGCCGATGACCGACAGCAGGAAGTCCACCTTCTTGCCCCATGTCTCGCGCTCGCCGACAGCCGGCGTCGGCGTCTTCAGTGCCATTCTACTGACGACCGACTGGTGGCCGCCACACCCTGTATAAAGTCAATAGTTGAAGTAAATATTTCAGGAAAAACTGTAGCTCGCGTGAGTAAGTGAAGTAAGTTTCATAAAAGATTGTAATTATTGGCGAAGGCATGACGAAAATTACTCAATGTTTTTCACGTAAGACTATATTCCGAGTTCAGAACTTAGTGTCATATCTTACGGGACTATTCCCACCTCTCGTTCACCGCTGCAACCCCTATGAGCCAGGATCTACAGCTTGACCGCCAATAAAAACCTAACCAGTGAAGGTCAAGTTTGTCCCAGGGAAAGTTAAACTGTCATTGGACCCGCATATTAATGTTATATCTTGTGAAAAATCCCCAGGCTTTTCGTAAAGATGGTCAACGCTTCGAACTCTTTAAATAGATAGGTATGTCACCTATTCAAAGAAGTTACACGTATTTTGCTGTGGCTCAGATTTATCTTCGCTTTTTTTGAGCGCATACGAGTAGGTACTACAGCTACAAATAATCAAAAGTAATCTTATGCCCGCATGATATCCACTAAATAATCTTAAAACATTAACGTTTCAAAGCCAAACAATTTTATAATAAAAATAAAATAAGCAATTTGTTACGTTATTATTACACCACGGTTCAAGACATCCACAAATCATTTATAACATTTCTCAGCTCTACACAACCAATTCATAACCGGAGCGACCCAAGTGCCCACGTCACAAAGATACACAACTTGACCTTTAATCCGTTAATTAACCCTCCACTCGCCATTAGCGGCGGCCGGCGTCCGGCGTCCGGCGCGGATAATGAAGTGACAAATGTGACGGAGGACTCACTCCATGGCTCTGTATGCCCACAGCCCGTGGAAGGTTGACGGGTTAGGGTTGAACAAAACAGATTGTTGTTTTTTGGTGGAAGGTTTTTAAAATAGCACGAGTAATTTTATAAACGGATTATGTATCTCACGTTGTGTTTCGATTTGGGAGATTTTAATGCTTATGATTTCGCTCTATTGGTTCTTCATATTTTGAACGTATGCTTAATAAATGGCATCATACAACAATAGCTGAAACTTTCAGCTTTCAGTCTGAAAGTATCTGCAGACTGAGATCCACAGTTTTGAGTTGCCATGAGATGCAATAATATTATTCTATCTTTATCTACGAGTCTGCAATCTAAACACACGATACATAATATCCACGCAACCAAAAGCTCTATAATTTTTAAGTACTTAGTTATCGCCTTGTAAATGAGTGCTTAGTTGTTAGATTTCTTTTCAGTAGTAACTATTTAAGTAGGTAAGTTATTGAAATTAAATTAATGTTATTTTCCAAATACAATAAAGGCTCCACTCTCAGCGTAGGCCTAAAAACATATCCTAAGCACACATCAGTATGTGTAAAAGTAACTACAAAAATAAATGTTGTAATTCGGCAAAGTTTAAGCATGGTAGCCCTAGTGCAAGCTCTCGACGCATTCGGCCGAGTGGCTGTCACGCCCAGCCTGCCGAAAAATCTCCACATCCAGCGGCACTAGTGGACAAATTGGAATTGCCTATCACTTCACTACTCGTAAATGACGTTAAGCCGAAACGCAATACACCGCACTGAACGTTTTCAGTGAGGTTTTATTTTAGGCAAAACAAGAGCAAGTTCAATTTTTAACGGAGATGACGTTGTTAAACGCTTAAATAGGTTTCAGAGAATCTGCTCTCTACATTTTGACAATGTATAATATAATTATTTAAGTTTTAGCGTTAAGAGTTGCATCTCAAACTAGGTTTGAAAATTATAAATAACTTGAAAAAATTTGAAAGAGTAGTCGCCTGGCAAGCGTAAGGTCATTTCCCGCCTTAGGCAGTTCGATTTTTTCAAGTTACATTTTTATAATTTTCATAATTAATTACACAATTGATTTTATAATACTCATAACTTCGTTAAGTTCCTAAAGTTAAAACAACTTTTGAGTTAAGTCAAGCAAGCAATAGTGTATTAGCTACATTATTTATTTAAAATCTTTCTTTATTGCACACACATTAG